CTTGTGCAGGTCACTGCCACTGTGAGTTCTTATGGACAATTTCCCTGTTATGTCCATAAAACACTTTCCTTGTAGTCATCCACCATCCTTGTATAATCTTTCCAAACCCTCTTCCATGATGATCCATGAAACTTCAGAAGAGGGGTCTGAGATAGATACCCCATTTATTGTTGAGTACCGTGTGGTTCTTACTCTATGCATGATGTCCAGTTGTGGGTCTGTGGGTTCATTGCTGTCTATTGCAAGAAGAACAATCTTTGGTGAGGGCTGAGAGATGAACTGATCTGTGGGGTGTGATGGTTTGAATAGGAATGGCCTCCTTAGACTCATAGATTTGAATGCTTGGTTACCGGGGAGTGGCACTATTAGGAGGTATTGCCTTGTTGGAGTAGGTGTGGCCTTGTCATAGGAAGTGCATCAATGGGTTGGTCTTCTGAGGTCTTAGAAGCCCAAGCAAGGACCAGTGTTTATCTCTTTCTGCTATCTGAAGATCTGGATGAAGAAGTCTCAGCAACTTGTCCAGCAACACGTTTACCTGGATGTCACCATGCCCCATGCCATGACAACATGAACTAAACCCTTGACACTATAAGGCAGCCCCATTTAAATTCTTTCCTTTGTAAGAGTTGCCTTGGTATGGTGTTTCTACATGGCAGTAGAACACCAATTAGGACAATGGGTGTAGAGATAAGGCATTAGGAATTATTTTAAAACAACACTCGTTTATAAAAATAATGATAGTAGGTTCTGACCTACAGAGGATGATAATGTCAGTATAGGCTCCATCTTGTGGAGCAGACTCTAAATCAAATCAGAAAGTGTCCAGTCACTACCATGACATTTGTGCTACTACTGCACCAGTGGGCAAATCTTGCCAAGCCAGTTATTATTGTAGTTCTCACAATTGGGTAAGACAGATGGTTGCTTTTATTTTCTGATGTTGTCAATGGCGTTTTCACCACTATGGAAGCTAGCCTGTAGGGACAAAGCTTTCAGGTGAGTACTTACTAGCTTGATCTCTTCATGTTCTGTGACTCAAGGATGTAGCATTTTCAGCAATAGGGTTTTATAATCAGCTTATTGGATTGTAACCAAGAGCAATGGCAATACCTGGTATTGTTTGTAGTTTATGGGACGCTACTGGCAAATAACTCAAAGAGGGACAATTCATTCTTGGTACCAGGTATTTTATTTGCTAGCATGGTATCTAACAGGATTGTTGTCCCCCCACTCCTTCATTATAAGTTATCTCCATTTAAACACACACACAGGCGTGTGTGTGTGTGTGTGTGTGTGTGTGTGTGTGTGTGTGTTTGTGTATGTGTGTGTATTTTCTCCAGTAGTTGGTTTCCATATGACTTTTTGAAAGGCTTTTCATATCCTCCTCCATATTCCTTTCTTTACTCTTTCCTCACAGCTCCCTCTCCATCTGTTCCTCCTGCCTCATTCTTCCTCTTTAACCATTTAAACCATTGAATCCCTTTCTCATTGCTCTTTTCTACATTCCTAATTTCTATGGGCATTCCAAACAAAACACTCATATCTAAACTTTCAAAACTGATATACACCAAGAGAGAAAACATGCATTGTTTTTTTTTCTAGGTCTGAGGTACCTCACCCAAGAGAATTGCTTCCAGCTCTACCCATTTACCTGTGAATATCTTAATTTTATTTTTAATCAACCAATTAGTATTCTGTTATGTAAATAACTTTTATCCATTCATCACTCAATCATCATCTATCTTGCTTCCTACTGGCTATTGTGAAAGAGCAGCAATGACCGCTGGTGGGAAAGTGTCCTAGTAGTAAGATATAGTCTCCTTTAGGTTTATGCCCAACGTTTGTGTGTTCATTTGATTTCTATTGTTGTGATGAAATACCATGACCACGACCAAAAGCAACTTGAAGAGGAAAGGGTTTATTTCAGCTTACAACTGAGGGACATCAGGACAGGAAGGAAGGAAGGAATCTGGAGGCAGTAACAGCAGCAGAAGCCATGGAGGGGTGTTGCTTAAAGGCATTCTCTACGTGGCAGATCTGAGAGGTCTTGAAGTAAGGATGCTGGTGGTTTATAATGTGAAGTTTCTAAATAAACAATAAATATATTAGGGAAAAATCCAAAGTCTCACTAAAATTTCTAAGTCTCCAAAATTCTAAAGTCTTTTAACTCAAGGATTCTGTAAAATAAAATAAAAGTTAAATTATTTTAGGAGAGAAGAACCAGGAGTCACTCTCAATCAAATTAAAACAAAATTAATGCTGCAGTATAAAAGGTTCAGTGCTTGATATCTGGTCCACAGACAATCCTATGGTTTCTAAAGACTGTTTTCATCTCTGCCATCCACAGCACATGCAGCTTTCTCCCAGGCACAGGCCAATCCATTCCACAACTGCTTCTATCTTGGCAATTGTCCCATGGAAGTGGCATCTCCAAATAATTGTGGTCTCCACTGCAACTGGGCACCTTTACCAAGAGCCTCTCCTGGGCTCTCTTCAGGAACTGTACTCTGCCACAATGTGCCAAATCTCAGCTGTTCTCCACGACACCTTCATGCTTTCAAAACCAGTATCATCTGTGTGATTCTTATGCTATCATATTCTACTGGCAGCATGAGCAGCAAATTTAGCCACCTCTGGAATACACAGTCTTCATCCCAACTCTGAGGAAACATTTACCAGAGATTTCACAGCAGATGGTTTAGCCCCAGCTGACAAGTTCAATTGTCTCAGTAAAGCAGAGGTTTAACTTCCATAGTTCTTAATTTAAAATATCATCTGTGCCAATAAAGTCTTTAAGGAACTTTCTTTTTTTCTGGCTTTTTGAGACAGGGTTTCTCTGTAGCTTTTGGAGCCTTTCCTGGAATTTGCTCTGTAGACCATGCTGGCCTCTAACAGATATCTGCCTGTCTGTGCTTACTGAGTGCTGGGATTCAAGGCGGGTGTCACCCACCACCTGGAAATTCTTAAGACTTCTCTTTGAAACACCACAAGGTAGGCTTCCTTGTTCTGTATTGCTCGAAACAATATCTTCTGTGTTCCCATAGAATACTCCACCAAGTTCAAAGTTCATTCAGTGCTTTCCAACTCAAAATTCCAAAGTCCTTCCACAATTCTCCCCACAATACACAGTCAGGTCTGTCACAAGCAATACCTCACTCCTGGTACCAATTCCTGTCTTAATTATGGTTTCTATTTGTGTGACAAAAAAACCAGGGCCAGTGGAGACTTGTGAAGGAAAAGGTTTGTCTTGTCTTGTATCTCCAGTTAACAGTTCACAACTAAGGGAAGTCAGGGCTGGGATCCAGAGGCAGGGACTGAAGCAGAAACTAAGGAGGAGTGATGCTTACTGGCTTGTTCAGCTTTCTTTTTTTTAAAATAGTACCAAGTACTATCAGCCCAGGTGTGCCACACCCCACAGTGAGGTTGCCCCCTCCTATATCAATCCCCAATCAAGAAACTGTCCCACACACAACAGGCCAGTCTGGCTGGGGCATTTTTCAGTTGAGGTTCCCTCTTCAAAAATGACTCTAGCTTGTGTCAAGCTTGTGACATAAAACTAGCCAGTACAATGGGATATTTGTGTTTTGTTAGGTGTAGTTATGATATGGTTGTCTTCCTTTGTAAGTTAAACATGACATAAGATTTGTTTGGGTGTTATGTTGACAAAAGTGGACTTGTAGAAGTTAATTTTTGATGTCAACTTGTTGGGATCTGGAATCAACTAAGAAGTGTACCTCTGGGTAACTGTGGGAATATTTTTTTTTATTTTAACTGAGAGAGGAAGGTTCTTCCTAAGAGCCTTCAGCATCTTCTGGTCTTATCCAATATATAAAGAAGACTAAAAGAAAACCAGGTTTTTGGCCTACTTTCCTTCACTTCTCACTGGTGAATATATCAACTGTGCTGTCACACAACAGCTTCATCAGCCTTCCAATGTGGACTGAAGACCAGCATGACTCTAGGAATCATCCAGGCTTTTAGCACCAAATTAGGACTGCAAAGGCTACATGGATGGTGGACTGAGGACATACTGGGTTCCCAGGCTCTATTGTGCAGCCAGCCAGTGCTGGGCTACTCACACATATTGTGTAAGCCAATATAATGCATTCTTTTTATAATGAGTGTTTATTCAGTTACTATTCTTTCTCTGGAGAAACTCGACTTGTACGGTGGCCCATTGATCCAGTTCTCTATGAGACTTTGAAAAATAGATTAAGGCATGATATCTAGCTATCCAGTCCTGCCTGGCTTGATATTCACTGTGAATCTCAGGCTGGCCTCAAGCTCACGGTAATCCTCTTGCCTTAGTCACAAATGCATGACTTACAGGCATGTGCCATGCTAGCTAGCTCCATTTCACCTTTCAATCCTATATTAACAATACTATGCAACTTGGAAATTAATGAACTTTGGTGGATTATATGTACTCTACTTTGAAATATTTTCATCAAGACATTTGGGAGCTCATACTATATTTTTTGTACACAAGGAAAGAGCAACCATTATACTTACTAATCATTATATATTATCAGATATAATAATACATTATACAAATATGCTATTATTATTGCTATTAATTGAGTGGTAGTCCATTCACAACCATGTTAAATTACCAATTATGAGGGATTCTAGAGAGACACAGATCTGTGGATGACTTTGTTCCATCTACTAATGATACTTAGTGTCCCTAGGTGCCACCCATTAGACCTGGTAAACCCTGATTAGTATCAGGAGACAGTCCAGTGCTAACCATATGTTGGGACAAATTTATGTCTCGTTCATTTCTGCTCCTGGTGGTGTAAGTATCTTCTCACTCTGGGAACATGTACATGTTGGGTGGCAGTGGTGGGAGTAGCCAATCCAGTGCCTTGAAAAGCATTTCACAAAAATACCATCTATGTAGAAATATCTATGTATGCCATTTTGAGTGATGAGTCTCTTGCCTCGTACCCTGACTGGAGTATGTCCCTAGCAGCAGGGGTGCTTGCTGATGCTGGAGCATGCAAGATAGGGGAGGATGTGGGGGCCTGGAGACTCATGAAAGCTTTTTGGGAATTTCAGGTGAGCTCACTTCTCAATTCTCAGAGAACAATGAGATGTGTGTTCTTGTTTTCCTGTGGTATCACCAGGTAAGATTTCCACTGAGATGCCTGTTTGGCTTAATCCAGTTCTCGGGTTGTTAATTGATTGGGGAAGAACCACTGGCAGATGTAATACACATGCAGAATTTATCTCTTAAAAATTAGGATCAATTGTTTGTTTATGCACATGTTAGCTGTCCAGACCAATGTGCTGAATTTTTGCAGAGTGAAAATAGCAAGAGGTAGAGTTCTGCTTGTTGTGAGCTGCTTGTGGCAGGGGTGTGACCTCAGTGTGAGTGGAGCCTCTGGCCATTTGCTTGCTGTAAATGGCCGTGGTGTTATTCTTCCATCCGGTTTCACCACCTCTTGATAACAAGAGCAAGAGTATTTTGTTGTTCCAAGTCAGACATCGAGGACTGATATCTGAGATGGATTCCAGTTGACCAGAGACAAAGGCACAAGGACTTTATCAATTTAGGGGGAAAGAATATTTATCCTATTGACATAGGAATTAGGAGGAAAAATGGATCAGAATCATCAGTGGAGTTAGTCATGAAATCTTTTCTAGTCTGATAAGTGTTTTTGTTGTTGTTGTTGTTCTGTGTGTATGGGTTTGTGCGTGTTCGTGTGTGTGTGTGTGTGTGTGTGTGTGTGTGTGTGTGCATGAATATATATGGTGTCCAAAGTACAAACATAGATGTATTTTTCAGACACCATCACTTTTATTTTTGAAACTAAGTCCTAAATAGGCTAGCCTGGCTGGCAAGCAAACCCAGGGATTCGTCTATCTTCCTCAGCTCAGTAATCACAGAGCATACTACCATGGTCTTCTTCCCATCTTCTTGCTCCTTCCATTTGGATTATAGAGAAACAAACTCATGTTGTATACTATGCTGTCCTCAAATTGGGTTTTCTTTTGTCTTTCATTCTTATCTTTGTGTGTATGTATGTGCATGTGTGTTGTGTTGTGTTGTGTGTGTGTGTGTGTGTGTGTGTGTGTGTGATGTATTGTATGCTTGTGTGTGTACACTTACCTACATATGTGCATGAAGAAGTCAGAGGTTGATTTTGGATACTCTCCTTCCTTACTTTCTACCCTGTGTTTTGAGCAAGAGTTCCTTAGGGAATGTGAAGTTTACTGTTTCAACTTGGCTGGCTAGCCTAGCCAGTGGGCCCCTAGGATCTGCCAGTCTACCCTCCCCCCCCCCCCCCCCCCCCGTCAATGCTGGAATTATAGATACACTTCCCCACTCCTGGCTTTTTACATGGGTGCTGGGAATAGGAACTCACACTTGGACAGCAAGCACTTCACCTGCTGACCTACTTCCCTAGCATCCTGGACATTCTTAAATATGTAGACTAAGAAGATTAGTTCATAGAATTTCTCCCTGGACTGACCATCAAGCGTGGGATGGAGGGGAAATACTCCTCTTTCACTGTCTAACTGGGGCTCTAGATGAGAGCAGCCAGACAGGAACCTTTGAAAATCCAACTAGAGTTACTTATGCGGCTCTTCTAATCCAATTCACTTCATAGGACTCCAGGTCTCCAGTATATTTTGCTAATAATAGTATAGACAAAAATGGAAACAAATGCTAAGGTGTGATGAACAAATAATTTTGTGGTGTGAATGGCTTCTCTGAGTTGAAATTTTTGAAGATTTGTTTTCATTTTATGTGCACTGAGTATTTTTCTTTCCTGAGAATATGCACACAGCTTGTATGCCTGGTGCCCTCAGAGCTCTGAGAGGGCAGTAGGTTCCCTGGAACTGGAGTTACAGATGATTATGGGTTGCCATGTGGGTTCTTGGAACTGACCCCAGGTCCTCTGCAAAAACAACAAATGCCCATAACTGCTGAGCCATCCCTTTTGTATCTATGACTGAAATTTTATTTTGTCTGGTTTGCATTATTTTCTTTCATTTTTCAGTGGCAAGGATTAAAGCCATATTTTCACACTTGTTAGAAAGGTACACTATCTCTGAGCTATACTCCCAGATCTGGGGTGATTTTTAAGTTATCATTTTCCTTTTGCAATATTTATCTGTGCCTGTATGACATGAAAGCCATTTTTACCAGACATAGGCATCATGACTAAGAGATAAAAGCACAACCTTGTTCTAAGTAGGCAGTGAACCACATGGGAAATCAACACTGTTGAATGACGTTATCTCTAATGAAGGTGTGTGACACACACGAGTTTTCTACAGCTGGTACACTGTAAAGACAGTCATAGTTTAAAATCAGTTACTTTTCCTTAACAATGGGTAAAATGACATATGCGATGCACTGATTACAAGCCCCATCGCCTTCCCGTGTCATTTATAGTTTAGTAACATACAGCTCTCCACCTTTCAGTCATGGTTCTGCAAAGCCCCTCAGTGACGGACTGAAGGAATAGAAATGCTGATGACAGAGAAAACAAGAAATGGGACAGCCATCCAAGAGTTCATCCTTGAGGGGTTCCCTGCAGCCCAGCACCTGGGGATCCTGCTTTTTCTAGTGCACTTGCTGGCCTACGTGGCTTCCCTCATGGGCAACATGCTCATAATTATCATCACCTGCGAGGACCACCGCTTACAGACACCCATGTACTTCTTCCTCAGCAGTTTCTCCTTTGTCGAGTGTTGTTTTATTACCACCGTTATCCCCCAGCTGCTAGCCATCTTTCTTTCAGGGAGGCAAACGATTTCCTTTGTAGCCTGCTTCACACAAGCCTTCGTCTTTCTTTTCTGGGGAGCAACGGACTTTTTCCTCCTGGCCGTGTTATCCGTGGACCGGTACCTGGCCATCTGCAAACCTCTGCATTACCCCACCCTCATGAGCCCAAGGATGTGTTTCTTCCTCGTTACCGTCTGTTTCGTTCTGGGATTCCTCTTCATGTCCATTCCGGTTGTGATGCTTTCCCAGTCATTTTACTGTGGCCCCAATGTTATTCCTCACTATTTCTGTGATTTTGGACCACTGGCAAATCTCTCCTGTTCAGAAACCAGGTCTATTGAAATGTTGTTTTTTAACCTTGCTTTAATTGTGCTTTTTACAACCCTTCTTATAGCCATCTTTGCGTACAGCAATATAGTAGCCACAATTGTGCGGCTCCCATCAGCCAGGGAGCGACAGAAAGCTTTTTCCACCTGCTCATCCCACCTCATTGTCCTCTCTCTAATGTACGGCAGCTGTGTGTTTATATACGTGAAACCAAAGCAAGCAAGTAGGCTAGAATCCAACAGAGAGGCTGCTCTGGTGAACACAGTCGTGACACCGCTTCTGAACCCTGTCATCTACACTCTGCGCAATAAGCAGGTCCACCAGGCTCTCAGGGATGCGCTGTCCAGGGTCAAATTGCACAGATAGCACAGGAAGAATTCACTTTCCCCTTGATTTAGTCTAGCTCCATTTTTATATAGATGTTCTGTATAAATCATCCAGTATGTTATTTCTTTCAAATTCTGCTTGTTTGTTCTTAAAATGATGGCTGACTTATCCAGTTATTCCATCTGAACACTAATAATCTTGAGATGGAAATCTTTCTACATATGCTTTGGTGGCAATTAAAATCAAAGCGTCAAACATATTACATAAGTGTTACATTTTCAACAAAGTGCCTCAAATTGTCCATGCTTTAGTTTGATATATGTTGGGTCTGGGAATCCTTTGTAGTGACCGGAAAACTAAGAAAGACCATGAGGGTAGAGTTGGGAATGAGGAATTAAGTTTGTGAGTATCAAGAATATAAAATGTATTCAACACTAGATTTATGTTTTCATCATACCAAAATTTGAATGATGCATAAACAATAACTTACGATGTAAATTAATTATTTAATTCCAGTCACTATAATTGTTTCCCATGAAGGACGTTTATAAATAAACAGACATTGTTACACCTCTGGTTTTCACCATGATGAAAAGCATTGAAATCAGAAGTTCCCATTGCTTTTACTCATTTGCCTGACTGATTTCAGTCTGAACCTCCAAAACCGAAGGACTAACACAGGGCCAGACTGGGAAGCCGAGTGGAGTTGTTACTTTGGCTACCATGCTGGGAAAATTCAAATAATTTAGGAGAAATTACTTCTGAGGGGAGAGAAGTCTAATGGTGATGATAATGCTCCTGAGATGAATTTATGGACAAGGTCAGGCATCCGTCTTAGCACTAAGGTAAAATGATGCTATTGATTGATCACGAGTCATGAGACAAGATGAATAGGCAAAAAGGCAGGAAAACACCCTGGTTTGTTTTGTTGTCAAATTGGCCCTCAGTTGAAGAAATTGCCTCTGTCAGATGGGTTGTGGGCATGTCTGTGGGGTATTTTCTTGACTGTTGATTGATGTGGAAGGGACCATCACACATGGGCAGTGCCATCCTCAGCAACTGACCATGACCTTGGGAGTAACCAACAAACCATACCCCTCTGCCATTTCTGCTTCAAGCTCTCACCTTGAGTTCCTTTCTTGGCTTCCCTCAATGACGAAGTGTAACCTGGCAGCCAAATAAACCCGTTTCCTCCCCAAGTTGCTTTTGGTCATGGAGTTTATCATAGCAACAGAAAGCTAAGTAGGACACCTATATATTATAGAAAGGACAAATTGAAATAGATACTGAGACCACAATGGTAAATCCAACTTTGCAATTATGATGAAGTGTAAGTAGATTAAGATTCCCCATTTTTTTTAAAGGAGGGTTTAACTATGATTGATTATGGCATAAAATTTAGGCACATAGAGACAGCTCAAAACTGCGAAATTTAAAAAAAGGCTAATAATATTGAATTAGTACTACTACAAGTTGATTGAATAAAGACCAGTAAATATACATGTATGATAGACAATTGTAGTTTAAAAGCATAGGAAAAACTGGAATCCCAAAAAAATAATGAAGAACACACAGCTGTGGTTGGAAGTTCTACCATTGTTTCAGTGATTAAGGGGTAAAGAATAGCAAGTGTTCATATTTACATAAGTCTGTTAATGAATGACTAATTATTGCAGGGTCTTTCATTTTGCACTTAAAGCATGCACATTGCTTTCATGAGTACATGGAGATATTATCATGATAGAAATTCTTCTGGGATGTAAACTTGACACCAAAACTTTTTACAAGAATGGAAATATGGAATATGTTCTTCAGCCACAGAGTAAATGAGAGATAAATAACAATAAATTAACATTTGGCTGTAAAGAACTCATTGTAAATAACGATTTTTTTTTTTAAAGCAGGAAAGCCTTGGCGGATCTTTATTATAATCTGTGTAACTTGTTCCCCAGTAAAACACCAACATATCATTTATCTTGGATCTTGTGAAGGCATTAACATGCGGCCTTCACATGAAACCATTTTTCATTATTGAAACTAAATAATAAAAAAACAGGAATAATGTTTTTACCAAATTGTTTTCATGAATAGGGTTTTCTCTTCCATGAATTCTCCCCTATTACCTGATATCATGATGGTGCAAAAAGGTTTTAAAATATGTACAGAGTTAGAGATACAGATGATCAAATTATGGCAGGCTCATTGCCAGGACTAAGGCCATGTTTTTGAGAACTTTCTGTAGTTTCTGCTACAGGAACACTTAAGGGTCTAATCTTCTTGGGAACAAACATGAAGAGTCACAAACCTACACACTGACATCACATAAATAAAATTAAATCAAGTCTCTAACCAAAAAGATTATCACATGTGAATGTTTTCTCTTGTAAGTCTTCATTTCTGTAACCCAGGTGTGTACACATTTAAAGTCTAAGCAGTTTTCCTTCATCATGAATTGGTTCATGTAACAAAAAGAACTTATGTAGGATTGGATTTAGAGAAATCAATTGATCTGCATGAGGTTTTTTATGTAATCAAAAAAGAATGAAATCAAAAAGGTTACCTAATCAGTTAATTCATAGGACTTATGTCCATATGAGTTTGCAGGTGCAAACAAAATACAGACATCATAATGCTTGAACAGATTGCTGACACTTGTCAGAATTCAGATTCTCCAGAATCTTGTACAACTAAATGTGTGTTGGCTGAAGATCATACCAAATACTTGATAGAAAGATTTATTTCAGTGTGCATTTTCTCAGGTCCTCAAAGTTTATTGTGATATGCAAAGTGCACAACTTTACCACACTGCTTACATTTATAGGGTTTCTCTGCCGTGTGATATTTTTCAGGATTTTAAAGACTGGTGGTATATACAAAAGCTTTACATGTTGATTACATTCACAGGGTCTCTCTCAAGTATGTGTTCTTTTATGACTGACGAGACTGTGTTGTGAAAAGGCTTTACCACATTGATGGCATTCATAGGGTTTCTTTCCAGTATGTGTTCTTTTATGAGATACAAGATTGCCACGTTGTGAAAATGCTTTACCACACTGATTACATTCATAGGTTCTCTCTCCAGTATACGTTCTTTTAAGAGTTACAAGATGACTGTGTTGTGAAAAACATTGATTACATACATAGGGTTTTTCTCCAATATGTATTCTTTTATGTGGTTGGAGACTACTGACATGTGCAAAGGCTTTACCACATTGATTATATTCATAGGGTTTCTCTCCAGTATGAGTTATTTTATGACTTAGGAGACTGCTTTGCTGTGAAAAAGCCTTACCACACTGATTACATGCATAGGGTTTCTCTCCAGTATGTGATCTTTTATGTGTTTGAAGGTAACTATTACTTGCAAAAGATTTACCACATTGATCACATTCATGGTTTTTCTCTCCAGTATGTGTTCTTTTATGGAGTCGGAGACAACTGTGACATGCAAACACTTCACCATATTGAAGACTTTTGCATGGTTTCTCTCCAGTATGAATGTTTTCATGCCTTTGATGATGCCTTCTATGGCTTCTAAAAGTCTTACAATTTTCTTCAATATTATGATCTTCCCAACTGTAGCCTATGTCAATGAGGTTCCTGTAGGTGTCCAGCGTCACATCTTTGCAGAGACTCTTCTCGGAAGGATCCAGAAAAGCCCACTCTTCTTGAGTGAAGTTGATGTACACATCATCATAGATCACTGCATCCATGTTGTAGTTTTCTTGCTGGACTCTTCTCAAAGCACAGGACATAAAACCATTGGCACCAGTTTCTCTTCAAAGCCAAGCCTGAAGCCAGTGGCCGGAAGGGGCCTGCCTGTAAATAACGATTTGGTGACAGAAAATGTTACTAACAAATTTGGAGGCATTTTTCATTAAAATAAAACAATACATCATCTCAAACCTTGTGCAATATAGTCTAGAAAATGCTATTACTTGAAAGATATAAACTAATAATGTAAGCATTTAAATTTAAAGTATAGGCATAATTTGAATTCAAATGAAGGGTATTTTGGCATGTTTTCAACTAATAAGTATTCAATCAATCAATCTGGAGGCTGAGTGAAAATAAGCAAAGCAGGATTTCATTCTTTTAAATGACTCATGAAATATTTAAATTCATTTAGATTAACCAGAAATAGAGTGAAAGGGACAGCAAGAACCAGGAAAGGTTTCTAGTGAAGAAGAAGGGATGTGACTCCACATATCCTGCAGGTATTACAAGAACAATAATGTAATGTAAAATCTTCATGCTAATAAGTTTGATAACCAAGCTAAAATAGAACTATGTCTTTGAAAGATAAACTTAACAAACCAACAGGAGAAGAAATACACTACCAATATTATTTTTCTATTTGTTATTATATTCCAAATTGGTATTTGTGATTCTGAACTTTTCCTGCAAGCTTTTCCATCCTTTTACTTTAAGGTGCTATCTGCTGATAGTGAGGTATGTATCTTAGAGGCAGAGAAAAAGATTGATCTTGTCTTCTGATTCAATCCATTAGTCTGTGTCTTTTTGTTGGGGAATTGTGAACATTAACATAGAGAGTTATTATTGAGTAGTGTTATTAAGTCCTATTGTTTTGTTGTTGTGGTGGTGTTTTTTTTCTTGGATTGCTTTTGGTTTACTATTCTGGAATTATTCTATTCCTTGTATTTTCCTAGATATTAAATTTTATCTTCTCTTCAGCCCCCAAGTATTCCTTCTAGTATCTACTGTAAAGCTGGTTTATGAACATAAATTCCTTAAATCAGTTTTTAATCATGGAAAAATATTCTTTCTTTTTTTATGATGACTGATAGTTTTGCAGGATATAGAAGTTTGACGTGGCATCCTTGGTTCTTCAGAGCTTGTTAATCAGTGTAGGCACTCCTGGCTTTGAAAGTTTCCATGAAAAACTCATATGTTATTCTACTGTCCTGTTGCTATGCGTGTCTTTCTTTGCCTCTTCTCAACATCCATTCTTTGTTTTGAACATTAGATTTGATAAATTTTCTTCTATGGTTTTATTAAGAATATTTTCTGTGTATTTA